CCCCCCCTGGAAAAAATCGCCCTCTGAAGGCCCTCCTGGAAACCCAGCAACAAAAAGTCCAAACCCACATCGGACAGATGGACCCCATCACTCCTATAATAACCTGGGAGCATGTCTACCAGCTCCCTGTGCCTGATCACAACCCCCCTGGCCGCCTCACATACGCTGCCATCACCTTGTTAACCTTACCCTTAATTTTCGCCACCGCGGAGGGATTCCGCACGTGCCGCCAGTACAACCTCGGAACCATTTCCGACCATACTACCATAACTCCTGGCACTAACTCCCTTAACCTGTCCACATCCCTCTTCATACACTCGAGCAAAACCTTTTGAGGTAACGACCCCACATCATTTCCCCCTGTGTGAAGCACCACTATGTCCGGAACCTGTCCCAAAAGAATTTTATGAAACATTTCCCCACATATAACATTCCAACCCCAGCCCTGGTAACCAAACCACCGTAGCTGCAGCACAGAACTTGGAGAGCACAGCTGTAGACCGTGACGTCGAACTGCAGCTCTCCATTGCGACCAGTGTACGTATGAGTGGCCGACCACCCATGCCATCCAACCTGTAAAACATAAGCTAAACCTTAAACCAACTTGTCTGGCCTAATGTAAGACCTGAACCTCAGCGACTCCCACCTGCCAATCTTTTTCACCCGTTCATCACCCAAGCCTAGTCTCGCCGCTTCAGTGGCCGCACCAATCCTGAAAGAATGTGTCCCGAATTGGCCTGGGTCCACTCCCAACCTTGCCAACGCCTTCCGAAAAACCCTGAGGAACTGGAACTTCGATAGCGAGTCACCCCATGGACAGAGATCTACGTAATACTCCCTCTCGAAGTGACAACCCAGCAAGTTGGGTGACTCGGCAAAAGACGGAAAGCCGCCTCCACGTCTGCCTTTGCCAACAACGCCCCCCGGCCCACTCGCTGCACCAGGTTCACTGCCTGGTCGAACGAAGCGTACGATACCGAACAAAGGGCCCTGTCAATGTCGTCATTAACTGACGACACCTTGGGGTAGGACAGATGGTGAATCAGGCGGTACTTGCCGGGCTCCTTCTTGGGTACCACCCCCAGTGGTGATACTCTCAAGTTAGGTAAAGGGGGCTCCCTGAACGGCCCTGCCACCCTGCCCAGCTGAACCTCCTTAACCCCTTAAGGACACATGACATGTGTGACATGTCATGATTTCCTTTTATTCCAGAAGCTTGGTCCTTAAGGGGTTAAGCAACTTCTCCCTGACCACCCCCGGAAATTCACCTGCCGACTTCAGGTTGCAAAGACGATGAGCCACCACTCTCTCCCGAAACGGGATGACGAACCCGTTGGTGAACCCCTCCTCCAGCAACGCCGCATCTTCCCGGTTAGCGTAGTGGCTTAGCCATGACCGCATTGCGCCGACCTTCACTGGTGTGTCCCCCAGCGGCAGGGGGCCCTGCCGAACCTCCAGGCATCCCCGCCACAGAGGCTGCCTTCCCTTTTTTGAAGCACCAGTGAAGTCCATGGGTGCCTCCACACCCGGAACACTCATGCTTGAATCAGCAAGTGGCCCCCCACTTGCACTGTCCCTCATTATACAGCAAGCTGTAGCCATGTTTTTGGTTGGCTGACACGGCGGTAGACGCGCCCGTGCCGGCCCCTGTCTGAAAGGGAGACGCCTTCTGCGCCATCATAAGTTTTATCCAGAGAGGTAGGTCCATCTGGTCCCACCGCATCCCCGGATTAGCTGCCAGGCACTGACGAAACTGCTCGTCATACCACCACCAAGCCAGACTCCTGTATGTCCGATAAGCCTCCCAAATACCATCCAGGTAACAGAAGAGCTGCGAACAGCGCTCTTCCGCCTTTTCGCCCATCATGCTGGCCAAGATGCAGAATGCCCTCAGCCAGTTCCCAAATGTCTTAGGGATCTTCCTATACCTCCGCTTCTTTTCCTCCTCCTCCTTTTTAGCATCCTTTTTATCCTCCTCCTTGAGGTCAATGTAGTCCTCAAGGGGGAGAAGCGAAAAGAGCTCCACAAACTCCCCTTTCCATATCCTCTCCTTTACCTCCATCTTGAGATGACGGCTCAGTGGGCCTGCGAAAGACACATGAACGTTCTGCCGCGTGGTCTCCGGGATGCCCCCTAATAAGCTCTCTCTCTCATTTGCCAACCCGGGCGCCTGCGGCCCCGGGAACCCTCACCGGACTAGACCCAGTGACCACCCCCCGAGCCCACACCTGACTGCACTCACTGTTCTTCCTTCACCCTACACCCCAAGAATCAATTAACTGCCTAATGTCATCTAGAAGCTCCCACGACGTCACCTTCCGCACACCTTGCCGCCGAAGGCCCTGGGGTTGCTGAACGACCGCGAATCTCCTGCCCCAGGCGTTCTGCTGCTCCGGGCCGTGCTCCTGAGGCGCTGGGTCTCACCCGATCCACAGGGGAACTGGAAGACGCCTGTCCTGTAACCGGGTCCGCCTTGCCTGCCGGCGACCGTCCTGCTGTCCTTGACGCGTGGGGTCTCTCCCTCCCAGAGGGTGACCGTCCTCGAGACCTGTAAGGAGAAGACATCCTGGGTAGGCTGGCCGTAGAAACCCTGCCCCATCCCCTCTCGTCCTGGGAACTGTCCCCCATCTCCCCACTAGCCGTCCACCCCCGAGGGTCATGAGCCTGTACAGCAGCCCGCCTCCTCTCCGGGGAACTCCCGCTCGTGGAACTGCCATCCTGCTGCGTCCATCCCCTTGAACAGACAGGGGGCGCCCTATGCCTTCCCCCCCTCGGGCATGGTCCACCCCGCAGGGGTCCCTGTCAACTACGTCAGCTACCCTCCGATGGCTGCTTCGTGACCAGTTCTTCCTAGCACCTTGCGCTCCCTGCGCTTTAGCCCTGCTGTCCCTGTTCCTCCAACAGCGTTTCCAGCGTTCCCGTGACCTGCTGCCAAGCCTGCTGTACCGCTCGTCCTTCTTCCGCTGGCCCGTGCTTGTCCAGGCCTCTTTCCAGGACTCCTATCACTTGCAGCCGCTTCTCCTTCATTCCCTGCAAAAGAAGACACAAAAACCGAACGTTCGGCAGTTTTCCTGCCTCCCCGTTCGGCAACCGAACGGCCAGCAGTATGGCTACCTCCCCATTCAACTCCCGGGTGTTTTTTCACCTCCCCGTTCGGGAAACGAACGGTCGGCAGTGACAGTACCTCCACGTTCGGTTCCCGAACGTTCGGCAGTTGTCTCCCATTAGCCAGTTCGCCTACCTCCACGTTCATCTCCTGAACGTTCGGCAGTTTCAGCCCGTTCGCTGGTTTGCATACCTCCATGTTCACCTCCCGAACGTTCGGCAGTATCAGATTCGATTCCCGAACCAGCAGCCTGCACCTCCATCCTCGCTTGACGGCTCGTTCGCGTGGCTGCGCCACAACGCCGTCCACGACCTCCTCCACTTGCGGCCTCCCCGCCGGCACTCACCTCACCGCCATTGGGACCTCCTGAAGGGCTCTTCTGATGCCAGGGCCGGGGAACCACGCTGGGGCCTTAACCGCTGTGGAGGCCTCGTCTTCCTGACCGGCCTCTGACCCTGGGAACCTCCAGATCCGGATGGCAGAGCATCTCCCAGGTGATCCCTGAGCCACTCGATCCCCCTCTCCTGCACAGCAGCCCGGATCCTTCCATCTTGCTGACCTGCAGAGGAGACAAATGAAAAGCCACACAATTCCTGCCACAACAAACAGGTAAGTGTAACTTAGATTAAAGTGGTTCTTGGTTCTAAAATGGCCACTACTTTTACTCCCCTTTAAAACTCCATCCCACCATTTCCAATGACCAATCCCTGACCACTGACCTTTAGATGGCCTGTCTCCTGGCAATGTCAAGGCCCACTCCCCTTAGTTACGCTGCTCCATGGGCTACAATATACTATAAGACTTCCCAAGATCTTGTCAAATCATAGCAGAGCATGCAATCAGTCCCATTTGTCCCAGTACCTGTATATAGACAAGTAATTTCTTATTATTTAGGGAGTTTTTTAATGGGAAATTTTTCCCCATTCTCTAGGTTTCAGTGTGAGTGGGTAATGAAGCTGTTAATTAAAAGGAACCCTTTCAGCTGTTTTGGACTATACTTCCCATGATGCTTTGTCAGCATTGTGGATGTAAGAGCATTATGGGGGATGTAGTCCACAACATCTGGAGTGCCGAAGGTTGCCTATGCCTGCAGGTTAACACATTACCTGCAGGCTTGAAAATGTTGAGGATACTCCGTGCTAAATGCTTATCTTTCCTATTCTAGCAACAGCAACAAAAATTTAGGAAATGTATATACACATTTTTGCCACATAGTTAAAAGGGACATTTTACTTAATTGGATTTTTAATATTATATTTACTTATCTCTATATTTAACACATATGTATTTGTGAGGTGTAAAAAAACTAATTAAATGAACATTCTGGGCACCAATACATTTAATGAATATAATAGATTTAGGCCTCATTAACATGTTATATTCTTTGGGGGGCTTTTATTTATTTATATTTTTTTTTGCAGCATTCCTGAAAACATTTACTTCTTTATTTGTGTGCAAAAACTTTACAGATATATTGGTGTTCGGAGTGTCACTCTAACTTTATTGCTCCGCACATTTTTATTTTGTAACTTGGTGCCTCCATCTCAGCGCCCTGTCAATCACTGTGATAAGCTCTGCCTGTTGCAGCTGTCAGTCAGAGGAAACATGCACAGAAAAATAGAAATGAAACAATATTTCTTCTTTTCATTTGCAATGCTTGCCCTAGCTTTGCCTTCTCTGAACTGGATTGAATCTTTAAAATATATATATATATATATATATTTTTTTAAAAGCCAAGCATCATAAGAAAAAACAAAAACCTTAACACGAGTTATAGGTGATTTTCTATGGAGA